GGTTTCGGCCAATGATGTCTCAACGGCGTCTCCTCCGGATATTGCTGCTTATCTCGGGAATATAGTAAAGAAAAATCTGACCACTCAAGAATCCTCTTTCCCCACAGACAGCGCCAAAATGTGGATGTCGGATTCACACACTCAAGTATTTTTGTTAATAGGGAAGATTATTCTTGAGGGACAAAAAATAAGAATGTAAAAAGCTTATGAATTGCTACAAAAATTGCTATAGTATTTCTTGCTTCGAAGAAAAAGGTCCCCTTTACATGGCCATTGGCCTTTATATTTATACATAGAAAAACGACATTTAAATGGCTAATTAAATACAATTATTCTCTCTTAAATGCGTCCGTTTTGATCTTTGACTTTAATGCTTAACGTTTGAATTTGAGTTGACTCTGATCTTCATGGGCCTCGCCTTTTGCCACAAGTGTTCTTGAACCGACTTACCCGTGTCTTCTACACCGAACTCATGTCGAAGCGCAGTCACTTCGGATTCTCGAAGTGGTGATAGCCACTTCGACCATTCCTTCGGCTCACGGGTCCAATAGGCTTTATCCTTTATGGGCCATTATCTTGACTACGTGGCAATCTTTGGTTGGTCTCGGACTTCTGGTGCGGGATCCGACACCAACAAGTTTGATGACGTCCTGAGGAGAAGAACCCCGCCAATCAGAACCAGATCCGAATTCGACCCCGTGACCATAAACGCTTTCGATTGAGCCCAAATCTCCCATCTTTGCCCAAAAAAAAAAAAAGCACCAGTTGTTTCCCAGGAGCAGCGAGATTTCTCTGGCTGTGGGGAAAAAAAATTAAAGAAAAAAAAATTAAAGAAAAAATTAAAAACGTTTGAAAAAAGACGAAGGGAGACATCGAACCCAGGTTCACTAGGGTAGTCATCAAACGTTTAACCATCTAACTAAGACAATATATTCATACAATTTTGAAAAGAGATATATATATATATATATATATATATATATATATATATATATATATACTTACTTAAACACCATGGGTTAAGTTTTAACCGCAGTTAATGCTTCCGTTAGCAAAGTTAACAGTCGTTAACTCAGAGGTATGATTTTACCAATTTTTAAAAAACGAAGGTTTTAAAAGGCAACCAAAAGTAACTAAGGTATTTTTATTCCAAATTTAATACTACATGTATTAAACGGCCAAAAAAAATTAGATGGCGGGTTTTTCGGGTTTTTTCCCAAAATAAAAATAAAGAGAGATTTTTGTTATTAAGCTTTGTTAGGACCGAAGCGGTAACAAAGATTAAAGAACAAAAAGAAGGACAGAAGAAAACGAAGATGAGAAAGAGAGAAGAGAAGAAGATAGTAGAAATGAGTTGTTTATTATTTCATTCGATAAAAAACCCAAAAAATGAGTATTGTTCTTTTTAATACACTTGGTATCTGATTAGTTTAAGAAAACGATAACGTATTGTATTGAGATTATTTAAGATAAAAGAGAATACTCTCTTTCATTTAGAGGTTTTGACACTTCATCTCCAACAAAGACTCTTAGCCACTTTTCTCTTCCTTCTGCGAGCAATTACGAGCTCTTCTCCCTTTTGATATGCAGGCCCGGCCCGTCCATAAGGCAAGTAAAGCATTATGCTTTAGGCCACATAATATAAAGCAAAAAAAGAGGCCACATTTTGAAAAGTCTTAACAGTCTAGTGGCTTGACAATTGTTGAATATATTGAATCCCTCCCAGTTTCGAGTCTCCATAGTTGGTTTTTTTGTCATTTTTTGTTGTGTTATTAATTTTTGTTTATTTTATTTTATTTTCAAAGCCATACTTTTAAAATTATGCTTTAGGCCACTGAAATTCTAGGACCGGCCCTGTTGATATGGCTTTCTTTCTCATGAAGGTGATAGGTACGTGCAACCTATCAGTATTTCCGCGTAATGAAATAACCTTGTCCTCAAGGTTACAATCTAGAAACTGGTTTAGCAAAACAGACAATGGTTCCCACGTCTATTCAAAAGAAGGCAAAACTTTCCATTGTACCCTTACCTTAGTCTCACCTTTCTCTGATTGTCGATAGTCCAACAACTCTTCTGGTTCTGTATCCCATTCTAGTGACTGCGTCAAGATATGTAGAATGTCCTCTGCCACTTGAGAGGTTGGTAAACCTGCCTCTAATTGTGACACATGGAAGACCGAATGGATCCTGCTTCCAAGAGGCAACTCCAGCTTGTATGCCACCCTACCTACACGAGCAATGACCTGATCAGGACCAAAATACCTCTGGGAAAGCTTCTCGTTTCTCCTTCTGGCCATAGTCACTTGTCGATATCGGCGCATCTTCAGATGCACCTTGTCGCCTACCGCAAACTCTACATTTTTCTTGTGCTTGTTAGCCTCCTTCTGCATTTTGGCTTGAGGAACTTCCAGGTTCTCCCTCAGCTCCAACAACAAACTGTCTCAATCCTTCAATAGCTCCTCTACATTGGCATTGGCAGTTGGAACATCTCCATACCGCAGTAGATTTGGAGGTTCTCTTCCATAGACAACAAAGAATGGTGTGTTCTGGATAGAGAAATGGTAAGAGGTGTTGTAGCAGTACTCTGTCTAGGGCAACCATTGAGACCACTTGGTTGGTTCCTATTGGTGAAGCATCTTAAGTACGTTTCAAGGCAGCGGTTCACTACCTCTGTCTGGCCATCAGTCTGAGGGTGGTAAGCAAAACTTCTATGCATCGCAACACCCTGAAATTTAAATAATTCTGTCCAAAAGTGATTGAGAAATACCTTATCACGGTCCGACACCACAGTCTCTGGGAACTCATGTGACCTCACTATCTCTCTGATGTAAGCTTCGGCAATAATCTTTGTAGTAAATGGATGTTTCAGGGGAAAGAAATGGTTGTTATTGTTGAGTCTGTCAACCACTACCAAGATGGAGTTAAACCCTTTAGAAAAGGGTAGTCCCTCTATAAAGTCCATACTTACATTGGTCTAAACTTGTTGCGAAAATGGTAGACGGGACAAAAGTCCTACGGGTGAAGTGGTGGCATATTTATTCTCTTGACACTCCTGGCAGAGGGTAATTAAATTCATCACATCCTTTCTCATTCCTCTCTAGTAAACCTCATGCAGCAACCTCTTATAATTTTTCAGTGCACCTTCATGCCCTCCTATGGCACTAGAGTGAAATTGCTCCAACAACTTTGGAATCACTGATGAGTTTGATGGAACAACCAGTCGCCCATCTTTGTCATCCCTTGCTCCAATTTGTAACCATTCTGGACCTCTTCATTTTTCTCCAATTTGAGGATCAGTGGCCCATAACAAGGATCAGCTTTTACTTGCTCCTTGAGTTCTTCTTTAACCAAGGATAGTGGCACCACTAAGCTAATCTGTTGCAACTCAGCCATTGGTAGTTTTCTTGACAATGCATCAGCCACCCTGTTCTGCACTCCAGGCTTGTACCCCAATGATGCGGTCATCACACCAGAAACTGAACCAAAGCTCATTCAAATTGGATGCACTATGCGAATCAGACCCGAGAAGGACATACGTTCATTGCGTGAACCATATCAGCTCAACTACAAAGATTCAAGGCAGGAAACCACTTGGAAAATATTCTCAGCTCATCTACACAACCCCTCGAAGAAGAATCAGCCCAAAAGGAGTTTTCACGAAGGAGTTATTCAATTTACAAATCGGATGATTCCCAGCTTATCCGATTTGGACATATACGGGTTCATTGGAGCTTTCCAACAAGACCAGAGGGATCTAAGCTATGGAGTAAATTTTACTACATTCTTGACTCATCAGAGGAGTTCGTCGAATTGGAATCAAGAAGATATTAATTTTCTAAACCAGAATATTCTCGGCTTGCCTTATTTGGAAGCTGACGGGTTTAGTCACTTGCAAACCAAACTTTGGCGTCCAGAAAAGTTTCTAATACAACTAGAAGCTTCTAATATCACCTCAAGTTTCATTCTCAGCCATTGGATTAAGTGGATTCCATCTTGGCCATTCATACACCAAGACTTTCCATATCTAGACTCAATTGCCTTCCATGCACTCCAACAGCTAAATACATTTAAACCAAGGAAGACCACGACTTTTGGGAGACTCTCCATGAACCAGAGGCTCTTAGAACGTGGATATGTGAAGAAGATATCAAGATACAAGCACTTTCCAATTCTGGCGCATTCACACCTAGCATTCAAGCTCCAACGGCTCATTTCCTTTGTTGGCGACATTTGCTTTAACTTTTGTCATTATTTTAGAATAATTTAGCTTCTATATTTGCTAATGACCGTTTGTAGGTCCTGTAGACGAGCCTATAAAGCTCATATAACACAATTGTACCATGGACCCTAATCGAGATTTTAAAGTTCATAAAAAACATTGTTTTCTTTTCTTCCACAAAGTTGTGAATTCTTTGTGTTTCCTTTCATTAGTTCTTATTTGAGTGAGTCAATTAAGTTCTTTTGAGTCTGCAAATCAAGTTGTTTGAGTGATTCAAACTTCTGGTTTGTTCATTGATTGAGTGAGTCAATCGCATCTATCCATCGTTCCATCCCTTGATTCACGAGAGAGTGCGTTATAGCCAGCTCGTGAATTCCACCTTCCGCAAGTTAAGCTTGGAATCTCTTGATCATTGAGTGATCATAAGTTGGATTGGTTCCAATCTTATATCATTTGATATCAGAGCTTCAAAAGCTCCTATCTTCCAAGGTTATATCTCTTCAACCTATATCTATTTCTATTTTCAGTTTTTGTTGTTTAATTTTTATAAAATTCAAAATAAAAATAAAAATTTGTTTCTTGCTTTGTTCTTATTTATTTGCTTCAGTACCTTCATAATAAAAAAAATAAAAAAAAAATTTGATTGCTTTGTTTTACTATTTATTTCCGATTTATTAAAGAAAAAGCCATAAAAATCATATTTTTGGTTATTTTTAATTATTTTTGAACTTTTCGTGTTATAAAATCAGAAAACAAAAATAAAAATTGCTTTTCCATTTTTTTTAAATATAATTTTCGTATTTAGTGAAAAAAAGGGGTTTCAATATTCGTTTACCATTTATTTTAGGCCTGGGAATCTGAACCGAACCGATTTGTCCGAACCGAACCGAACCGAGGTTTGGGCAAATCGGTTCGGTTATTGTTAATTGATCATAACCGATCGGTGGGATTTTAAAATTGTTTCGGTTAACCGAGATTTTCGGTTCGGTTTGGGAGAACCGAACGGTTAACCGAGAAAATTACAACCTAACCAAACTATGGTATCTCTTCTCTTCTCCTTCTTCAAATCTCCTCTTCTTCTTCGAGCTCTTCTCTTTTTCTTCTTCTCCAACTTTGACTGGAGCAAGATAAGCAAAGAAAATAACAATTAAAGACTTCCCAAAACCATCAACAGAAGAATCAAGAGACGTCAGAGATCTAAAGCTATTATTCCGGCGCTTGAAGTAGGTCGGATGTAACCCATAGAGCTTCAAATCCGCTTGAAGTACGTCAGAGATCTTTTTCTTGCTTCTTCTTCCTCCTCCTTATCAAAAGATCCGAGGTTAAAGAGAAAACTTACAACTTTGGCTTTGATTTCCCGATAGTCGAGCCGACGGCGAAGAACATTAGGGTTGAATAAGGGGTGGGTGATGAAACACACGTTTCATTACTTTGTTGGCACATTATTTTCTGGGCTTGGCCCAACTATTTACTTAAAACATGGGCCGAATCTGTTTTTTTTTTTTTTTTTTCCCATTAAAACAATAACCGAGTATCCGAATTGCAGTAACCGAGAAAACCGTTTCCGAACCGAACCGAACCGAAATCTTAGTCGGTTCGATTCGGAATAGCTTTCAATTTCCAAATTAACCGAAAAACCGAGAAACCGAACCCGAATAAACCGATCGGGTCAAATTCCCAGGCCTAATTTATTTGTTATTCCCTTATCTATTGCTTTTTGGCTAAGCGTTGAAGACGATTCTGAATTCTCTATTATTCTTCTTTTGCTAGGTTCTCACATAAACCAGAAACTATGGAGTATGAAGATGAGAGGAGTGAATACAACACTTCAGAAGTTGATTGGGGACAAGAATCTAACCCGTCATGGAGTGGAGAAGAAGATTACGACTATGGCTCTTGGGAAGGAGAAACTAATTATAAAATCAGTCTAGAAGAAGTAGATGAACGTGATGAAGAGCCTTGGTATGAAGAGACGAATTCAGAAGGTGCTTTCGAAGGAGAAGAAGAAACTGAATCCCAATTCAGTTTAGAAGAAGACTTGCCGAATGGAGAAACTCAAATCAGTCACGGAGATGAGGGCTTCAATCACGATGGAGAACCAGACCAGTTCGTAGAATCTTACACACAAGAAAGACCATGGTGTGAGATACCATACTCTTATCAAGAGGGAGATCGCCAAGAGGAAACTGATTCACAAATCAGTTTAAGGGAAGACGAGTCACATGGTGTAGAAATAGAAACATGGAGTCATGAGGGTGAATCTAACTATGGTGATCAGCCGGTACCCTATTCCTTGAAATGACATACCTAAAGTAAGCTATCTCTGTGAGACCAAAAAAACATTTTTTTGCATTCACATAGAACTGATTGTGACTAAGCAGCTGCAGGACGACTTCTAGGTGCTTCAAATGGGTCTCCAAGTTAGTGCTATAGATTAGCACATCGTCAAAAAACACCAACACAAATCTTCTTAGGTGGGGACGGAACATATCATTCATCACACTTTGGAATGTTGAGGGGGCGTTAGTAAGCCCAAAGGGCATCATTAAGAACTCATAGTGACCTTGATGTGTTTTAAAAGCTGTCTTTTCCACATCACAACTCTTCACTCTAATCTGATGGAACCCAGATTTTAAATCCAGCTTTGAGAATACCCTTGCTCCCTTTAATACATCCAGTAACTCTTCTATAACTGGCACTGGATATCTATCTGGTATGGTGACTTTATTTAGGGCCCTGTAATCCACGCAGAACCTCCAGCCTCCATCCTTTTTCTTCACTAACATCATTGGACTGAAGTAAGGGCTGATACTTGGCTGTATGACCCGTGTTTCCAACATCTCATGTAAAAGTCTCTCTATCTCATTCTTCTGTAAGAAGGAGTACCGGTATGGGCGATAATTTATGGGTGTGGTACCTTCTTGAAGAGTTATAGCGTGTTCCCTGTTCCTAGCAGCTAGTAAACATCTTGGCAACTCGAATACCTTCTTGTATTTATCGACCACGACCTTAACCTCTGCCTCATAAACTCCTCTTTCGTGACTACCTTCCCTCTCGAAGAGTGTAGTCAGCTCCAATAACTAAACCATCCCTTGTTTTCTGACTATTCTCTCCATGGAGTTTGAAAACACTTGCCCTTTTCTTAAAGTTGGATACCCTTTGATAGTTACTCATTAGTCTCCAATCTTCCAACTCAATGTCCTTAAAAACTTTAGTAAATAAATATTTGAAAAGTGCATATATTATCCAACAAAAGAAAAGAAAATTGTTTACCAAAACAACAAAATTAAATTAAAACAAAAGCATTTATAAATCATCGGGAAAATCGGAAAATTAGGAACACATGAAGTCAAGAATCTTCTTGTTTTGCTCTTTCAATGCTAAGATCTCCTTGTCTTTTTCTTCAAGCTCTGCAAAGATCTCAGAATCCCGTGATGGACCGGAATAAGAACATTCGATGCTTTGGTTTAGGCTACTTAACCCCACCACACGACCTTAGTTTAATGGAGTTTTCTGAATTTGTATATAACAATTGTTAGTAACTTTAAAATTTATATAAAAAATGTAAGTTAGAAAACAAATCTTACCTCAAGAACCATGCAGTTGATCTTTTCTCAGACAAAGACGTTGGCTGACGAGGAACCATCATCATTTTGAGAAAGCTGCGTGAGGCACTCCGTCTTCCTTTTCTTCAACATCTAAACGAGGCCTGTGATGTAACCGTCTTTTATTAATCCGGTTTTCTTGTTGGTGTGTGTATCCTCAATGATTTCTATAAAATCAGGTTCTATACCTCCGTTCTTCTCCGTCTATAAATCAAATAAAAAAAAGTTAATTTTAAAATAAAACATGAAATCAAATAAAAGTAAAAGACTAACCAATTCGTATACACGGCTGAAGAAGCTCGTCGAACCCGCATTGTCCACCGCTAGACCTTTGCCACCTCGTTGGCTCTTCTGGTTTTTTTTTGTTGGTTTCCACGATACGAGCAGTATCCGACAACACCCAATACTCTTTTAAGCCAAGCCATATGTCTGGGTTCAACCCTTTTGGACACTCCTTGCCTGCCACCCACTTTCCCTTCCAAATGTTCATGTGGTCTCCAAATTTTGATGAAGCATAATTGTGAAACGCGACACGGATAAGGGGTGCGTGGACAATATCCCAATTGAATTCATGCTACAAATCAAAAGAATTATGTTAGTATAAAAAATACAAAATAAAGGTACGTAATAATAAATGTATTACTGCGAAAGTCCTAAACCAAAGCTCTCGATCGTTGCCAGGCATATCATTGTACGTCGGATACGGATGTTTGAGCATCCCGTGCAACATCCGTAAAATGGATTTGGATATGCCATTTTTAGAATAACGGAACCTACATATAGAGAGAAGTAATATGATTTCTACTTTAAAATATTTATATATTAAAACAAGAAAACAAAATTTATTTACCATGTTGTCACGGCTCATTCTCTTCAAAATACCTCTGCACCAGACCACAAGGATACACTACATATTTTATGGAAAGACTTGGAGGATATTTTTCTAGACTTTATCCCCAAGAAATATCCCTATAAATCCGTCGTATTTATTAGGATCTTGCTAATCAAGGTCATATCTTCAATATGGGCCGTAAGATCGCTTTAATCTCCACCGTCCATTAAGGAGGTGTTTTTGTATAAATAGGGGTGAGATCCCTCATTTGTAAATCATCGAGCGTTTTTATCAATATTAGAGCAATTCAGTATTCTATTGTCTTTTCCGGAGTTTTTCACTATTTTCGAGTTTTTTTCTCACAAAGGGTCAGGTTTCTTAGAGAGTTAGGCTGCCTAGTCTATTTGCTCGAGGTAAAGAGAGTCTAGGGCTGCACGGTTTGATCCCAAAAGATTAAGTCTGCGATACTTGGTATTAGAGCTAGGTTCGATAAAAGGCAAGCAAGATACTGAAAGATGGTGGGTCGTAACGAGGAAGATGTTACCGGATGTTTCAACGGCATCAACATTGATAAGCAGGAGGCTTTCGTTGCAAACGTGCCGAAGAGGAAGCGCGACACGAGTAAATTTCAAGATGAGCTTGGATCCTTGGGTGCTGCGGTGAGCGAGAGACTCGAGCGTGTTGAGCACTCTACCACCGAACTCGAGAATAAGGTGTTCACCGAGATCGGTGGAGTTAAGGAGAACTTGGACAGATTTGAGGAGCCGTTCGTCAAACTAAAAGGAAAAGTGATGGGGGCACTCAAAGAATTGCAAGTGAGCATCGAGGCGATGCAAGAAGATCTTACATTTCTAGAGACGCCTAGAAAGTTGAGAATTTTCTATGACAAATGGAGCAATACTTTGATAATCTCGGGCTTGGAGACGAGATTGCAAAGATCAAGGTGTTCACATCCTACTTGACAGACACGGCCATGCTATGGTGGTAGAGGCGTCATGCAGACATTGAACAGGACACTTGTCTGGTGGACACTTAGGAGGAGTTCAAGAACGAACTCAAGCGCCAATTCTACCCCAAGAATGTTGTCTATGAAGCACGGAAGAAGCTGAAGGAACTCCGGCAAAAGGGTACGATGCGAGAGTATGTGAAGGATTTCACTACCCTTATGTTGCAGATTCCAAACCTGTCCGATCAAGATTTGGTATTCCATTTTATCGATGGACTCCAAGGATAGGCAAGGGAAGAGTTGCAGCGGTGCGGTGTGAAGTCAGTGGATGAGGCGATTGCTGCGGCAGAATCTCTTTCCGATTTTGTCATTCAAAATCAATCTGAAGTCTACAAGAAGAATGAGAGGGTGGTGCCTAGGAGTAATCGAGAGAGGAGGGACCAGCCAACATTGACTTACCCTCAGAGTCAAGAGAAGACTTTGGGCGGAAGAGTATGAGGTGAAGAAACGCTCTTTTGTCCTGTGAAGTGGGTGTTATGTGTGCAAAGGATCCCACACTGCGAGGGATTTTCTAAAACTTGGGTCGTTATACGCTTTCCTTGAGAAAGCAGAGGTGGATGTCCAAGAAGAGACGGGCATGATCGGATTCTTGCAGTTACTCAATGATCTTAAGACTACCACAACAACGTCTAAGGCAAAGAGCAAGGGTTTGATGTACGTTGATATCTATTTCAATGGACGGGCAACTCAAGCGATGGTGGACACGGGTGCTACTCATAACTTTGTGTCCGAGGGAGAAGCTAGGAGGCTCGGTCTAACATGGACGAAGGGTGATGGTTGATTGAAATCGGTGAATGCTAAAGCTCAACCACTCCATGGTGTTGGAAAAGGCATGGAGCATAGTATTGGGGCTTGGAAGGGGATGATGAACTTCTCAGTAGTGTCTATGGATGACTTCAAGGTGGTACTTGGGCTGGAATTTCAAAGACAAGTGTCGGCAATACCTATGCATGCAGTTAGTACGGTGTGCATCTTTGAAAAAGGTTCACTGTGGAAGCTAAGAGTAAGGAGGATCGTGAAGTTCGGTAACTCTCGGTAATGCAGCTCTCAAGAGGCATGAAGAAGGGTGACCCAACTTACCTAGTGTTTTTGAAGTTGGATGACGGATTTGGAGAAGTATCATCCCACTTTTGATTGAGAAAGTCCTTGAGAAAAATAAGGATGTAATGTCGCGTAAGTTGCCAGAGAAACTACCACCTAGGAGAAAGGTGGACCATCAGATCAAGTTGGAAGTGGGAGCCAAACCACATGTGATGGCCCCATACCTCATGGCTCCTTCCGAACTCACAGAGCTTCGGAACAACTTGATGAGCTACTTTCTACCGGAATGTTGAGACCATCGATGGCTCCTTACGGCGCACTGGTGTTGTTCCAAAAGAAACATGATAGATCTTTACGGATGTGTGTGGACAATGGAGCACTTAACAAGGTAACTATCAAAAATTATTACCTGATTCCTTTAATCGCCTACTTGTTCGATAGACTTGGAGGTGCTAAGGTCTACACCAAGATGGATCTACAAAAGAGTTATTATCAGGTTCGGATAGCATAAGGAAATGAGCCGAAGACAGCGTGTGTTACTCGGTATGGTTCGTTTGAGTGGCTAGGAATGCCTTTTGGCCTTACCAACACACCAGCCACATTCTGCACGCTCACGAACCAGATTTTTCAGCGCTACTTAGATCGGTTTGTAGTGGCATATCTCGATGATATCGTCATTTATTCTAACTCCATGGAGAAGCATGTCGAACACTTGAAGAAGGTGTTTTAGGTTCTACGCGAGAACTAGTTGTACGTGAAGCAGGAGAAATGTACGTTTGCCACAAAGGAAGTACATTTCTTGGGGCATGTCATTGGGCGTTGGAAGCTCAAAATAGACGATGCTAAGGTGACCGCAATCACGGACTGGGAGGCGCCAACCATGGTACCTGAGTTACGGTCTTTCCTTGGGCTCTTTAATTACTATTGGCGGTTCATCAAAGGATACTCAATAAAGGCATCATCATTGACATGAGAGTTGTCGGATCAGTGTAGAGAAGCTTTCGAAGGGCTTAAAATGGCAGTTAGCAGAAAACCCGTCCTTGCCTTTCCGGACTTCAGCCAACTATTTGAGGTACAAACTGATGCCTCCGATTATGCCATTGGTGGAGTTCTTATCTTGGGGGAACATCCAATAGCCTTTGAAAGCCGTAAGCTCAATGACACGGAGAGGCGTTACACAGTTCAAAAGAAAGAAATGACGGCTGTTATTCATTGCTTGCGTGTTTGGCAAAATTACCTCCTGGGGTCCCATTTCTCCATCAAGACGGATAATGTGGCAATGAGCTATTTCCAAACTCAAAGGAAATTGTCACCAAATCAAGCCTGTTGGCAAGATTTCTTGGTTGAGTTTGACTGTAGTTTGGAGTATAAGCCAGGAAAAGCAAACGTTGTGGCGGATGCACTAAGTCGAAAGGCCGAGCTCGCGGCCGTTAGTCAAGTCGAGTGACAATCCTAAGTTATGTCCAGGAGGGGATTGATCACAACACTATTGCCAAGGAATTGATGAAGTTGGCGAAAGAGGGGAAGGCTCTCTGTTTCTGGATAGAAGATGGCCTACTTTACACCAATGGTAGGCGCTTATATGTTCTAGGATAGGGGAGCCTACAAAGAGATATCATCCGTGAATGTCACGATACGCAATGGGCAGGACACCCGGGGTAAAAGCGAACGATGGCATTGGTGGAAGCGGTGTACTAGTGGCCAC